ACATCTTTCCTCACACTGTTAGTAATCTCAATGATAATCTTGACGCCATTTTGACGAATCATTACTAATCAAAATATAAACTATTACAAGCCAACGGCATAACTGAATTATTCTAATGATAGCGACGTTAGATGTATAGGTGAAGGGTATATAGATATCCATGTCAAAATAGAACAATGATTTATGATTAATTAGTGTGTAATGTTTGGGTAATGTTCAGTATAGTGGAGGATCAAAGTTATCGTTACCATTAGTTAATAGTATCAATCCATTTATAACAAGAATAAAATATGTTCATCATACTTATTAGCAGCTATTGCTTCTTCTTTTATCGTACTGCCCAGTCTCACATGGATCCCTACTTCGTGTTGCGACTGATATCAACTGTGAGCAATGACACCGTAAGCGTAACTATTGGTTACGTAATTACTGAAATGTAAATATCATAACACTAATATAAATTTTTTGTAAGGAACTCCAAAGTTGAAAGTGCATAAATGTTATTATCTTCCTGATTATTCTGAATACAATATTACAATGTCATGAAATTCAGTTCTGCTTTCCATGTCTAGTGATACTTCAGATAAAGATTTAGCTTACACGGTGTTTTCAATTACACTATTGACCAATTCTTTCGTACACAGTCCTACTAGCAAAAATTACACGTTCAAGACAATCTTCAAAAAAGAATATTCTATAATACAATCTAACTGTGCTACCAATTAATCGGGCTATATTCTCTCGTATATATGATTAGTGGGATTTCGGCATAACCTTTATCAACTCTTGACATGAAGTCTGAGCTACAATAATTACGGTTCAGACCTCAAAAGGCTGGCTTTCCTGAACACAGTGAAGAACCTCCATTTGCAAATTCTCCTTACTCCTTGATACTTATTTAGTCACTTGGGTTCGTACTGGTTATAGACTTGTTTCAACCATGGAATATTTGAAGCTAAGTGACTTGCCATTCCAAATCCGCCATGGAAACTGAGTTTGGCTTGGTGGATAAAGTATTGTTCCCTACTCTCAATATATGGTATTCTTTTCGGTAACAGTGTGCCCATGTTCTTCCGAAGTTTAGAATTGAGCAATATTAGCCAACGTCACGTCAATCATACAAATCCAGCCGTATTATTCCAGCCCAACACTGCCCTAAATGGCTTTTTTTAACTCTTTCTACTATTGATGTCATGTATGAAGTGCCATCCATACAAATACCAAATTTTGATGCCAAAAGTTACCATTGATTGAGTCTCAGTGCCCGATAACATTTCCATGTCCCATTTAAGTAACACCACCGCGCTCATATAGACTTGAACCAAGCTGATTCTGATTTGAAACGTATAGTCGGCACCGAGTTTAAATATATCATACAGATTCAAATGTTCCGGTGATAGTTATTCTCGTATGGGAAACAAGTTACGTCTCCTAATTTTTACTTTGAAAGGCGAACATCATTCTCCTAGTACCTTTTGGACTCGGATTTGAAAGTATCTGAATAAAAAACTAAGCAGTGTGTAAAAATGCATGGATGATCACTTATTCTTTGTTCCATATACATCCGCTGACTCCAATTTACCTTCTCAAGTTCTTTCTGCAATCTTGGAGTTGCATCCATATCCACAGACATGATAGGTATTCTGCAAGATACTAAACGATGTTAGAAGTTCCCTTTATCTCCATCTTTGTTCAATAACATCAGTTCAAAGCATAAGTGAAATTGAGAATGCCCTTCGTAACCTCAATGGACGATTCCATATATGATATATCGCCCGCCTGAAAAGAAATGCAACATGTAGAACACCAAACATAAAGCAACTTAGGAACAATAGCTGGTCTTCCAGTTTCAGTGTAACTCTGATTAACAAAGTATCAATGAAAGAAATACGCGATACAATCCCGTTTTCGTACCATTTCTTCGAGACATTGAGAGTTCCCTATATATACTCCATAATAAGATAATAACGTACATTCACGCTGATCAGTTGGAAAAGATTCACATATTCACCCACTGCTAAATTCTAGCCATACTAACGCCCTTGGAATCTCCTCAAAACTCAAGTTGACCATTTAGAAGGTTGACAGAGTAAGTGATCCTTCAGACTCTTAATAACTACGTCTACCTCTTGTTTCCATCTTTAGGAACACAGGGGCACGACTCCGATCAGCAAGCACTACAGTTTCTTTCTATCTTTCACTTTGCCCTCAGTACAAAAGACAGAAGTCATGACCTACTTTCACCAACACTTCCATATCGACAGTGGAGTGTTCAAAACACCTGAAAGCCTAACGTGTTCTTTGCCATTATCGATGACTGCTCACTGACCATCAGGTATGGTACATAATGAGCCAATCACTACTACATTAATGAAACAGTGTGGATAAGATGGGCCAATTCAGGGTTACCTTACTAAAAGGATTGATATGATGATCACATACAGTTGAAATTGTCTCAAGGCCCATGTGGCCGTGCCAATGATTTCAATTTTCATTTTGTGATTGGCATAATGATGTTTGCTTGTAACACTAATTGTGTGTGTCTATCATTTTAGGGAAGACTAAACAAATACAAAAGTTTATTCCAGCTCTTCTTCAGTGACATCATATAACTTGACGCGGCGCTCATGCATGCACAACTTGCGCGCAGTGATTATTACTGCTTTACGCCACACCAGCAGATTTATGATTTTTTTGCGCGCGGTAACTCATCCAACAGAAAAAGTATTCTACCACAATTTAGAACATCCAAACATCCAGAGATTGTTCGCGATGGCAGCAGTTTTTTCATAAAGTGTAACGAGTTTAGTCCAGTATGAATCAGCCATCAAAGAGTTCAAAACATTCTATTCCGAGCTATTGAACGTTTGTTACGGATCGAAAACGAATATGGGGTCTCCAACAACTGTTGCAAGCATACAATAAAAAAGAAAAGCATTTAGAAGTAAATAAGGTTAAATGAAAATGAAAATAAAAAAAGAGGGCATCTAAATGAAAAGCACGTTAACGAGTGGAATCACTGCTGCTCCCAGGAACGATGACCATGTCAGGGCGTTTGCTTTTCCAGTTTGCAAAGAAATCGTTGAAGAAGGTTGGGACACTGTGTCAGATGTACTGTAGTCCTCAAACTCAGATATGGCCACACTACTTTCAGCTACCCCACCAGATTGGTATGATGGTGGGCTGTCTCAACGGTTACAGTAGATCCACTGGCAAAGTCAGAAGACTGGAAAACAGTTTCGAGAGTACTCAGCTCAACTGTCGGTTCAGGAGTATCCAATGGAACATAAACTGGAACAACACTTGTTGAGTGGGTATCGGCAATAGTGGTAGTCTGCAGAATTTCCCCAGTTACAATGGTAGCTTGAGTGCAGGTGTAAGCGTCACACACCTCTCTTGTAATTGTAACCGTCGAAGTTTGTACATCTGGGACAACAGGGCTAGGTTTTGCCGTATAGATTGTTTGCAAAACTTCACTTCCACTAACGCTTGTGGTCTTCACAGTGACAATGTCGGTTGGCAAAGGACAGTAGGTTGTTACAACCGTAGTCGCACCGTCGGTAGTAAGAGTTGTCTGCGTGACCCCGGTTAATTCAGTCAGTCTTGGTGCACTTCTTAATGCCACAACTGGTCACCGTCACGATACGGTAGTCGAAATACTACCATCGGTCAAAGTGGTTTCACTGGCCCCGGCTTATCGTGGTGGTCACTAGTGCTTGAAGGACATAGCACGATGGTGCTACATCAGAATCTGTAGTCCAGGTGGTGTACGATCCAGTCCAAGTGAGTCTCATCAGCAGTGACAGTCGAAGTCGGAACAACTACTATCGTGCTTCCATCAGAGTCTGTGGTCCATGTAGTGTAAGTTCCAGTCCAGGTAGAAGTCTTATCAGCAGTTATCGTAGACGATTCAGATTCCTTCAGAGCAAAGTTGTAAACGTACCCTTCGTACTGGGTCAACAAATCACCATCTGGTAGCTTGATCTGGAAATCCAGTAAAGCATGTTGCGATACTGCAGCAAGCACAACTCGTAAGGGATAATAGCTGTCTGCTGAGAGGTACTGCGTGGTACTTATGGTCTGCCCCAAATCCCTAGTGTTGTCGAAAAACAGAGCATAGTTGAGACTTGTTTTAGGTTTCAGGAACTGCACCTCACGCTTTTGCAAAGACTGATCAGTAGCAGTAGCACTTCCCAGAAACAAAATTGAGTTGTAGTCAGTATTACTGAACAAAAATCTCGTACTCTCCATCCACTGGAGCTCTGAAAAATCCTTCGTACTCTATGGTTGCGTTGACGTATGATCCGGTATTACCCAAAGCATCTCTGTCAATATAATAAGGCCAACTCGAATCAGTGTCAAAGTCAATGTCACTAACACCAACAGCCGTTGTCACTAGTCCCAGGTTCTCATACCCAGAGCTCATAAAACTGATTTCATTGGCAAGTTCGTAGTTATCTGCAGGATAATGGTAAACTGCAACATTAAATCCGTCAGACACGAATACTCCGTTATCAACTCCAAAACTAGGGACTGGTGTTTGCATAACGTTTGTAGAAGTACCACTTTCCGAAGGTGCAAGCTCAACGACTGTGCTGCTTCCGTCATCAGCTACTTCAGTAGTCCAGGTAGTATACGTACCTGTCCATGTGGAAGTGGCGTCAGCCGATGGAGTAGGAATTTGTTCAATTACAGATCCGTCCTCATCGGTTGTCCAAGTGGTATAAGTTCCAGTCCAGATCGACGTGGTGTCAGCTGATGGAGTAGGAATCTGTTCAATAACCGATCCATTTCGTCAGTGGTCCAAGTGGTATGAGTACCAGTCCAGATCGACGTGGTGTCAGCTGATGGAGTAGAATCTGTTCAATAACCGATCCGTTCTCATCGGTGGTCCAGGTGGTGTAAGTACCAGTCCATACTGAAGTAGCGTCGGCAGATGGAGTCGGAATCTGTTCAATCACTGATCCGTTCTCATCCGGTGGTCCAGGTGGTGTAAGTACCAGTCCATACTGAAGTAGCGTCGGCAGATGGAGTCGGAATCTGTTCAATCACTGATCCGTTCTCATCGGTGGTCCAGGTGGTGTAAGTACCAGTCCATACTGAAGTAGCGTCGGCAGATGGAGTCGGAATCTGTTCAATCACTGATCCGTTCTCATCGGTGGTCCAGGTGGTGTAAGTACCAGTCCATACTGAAGTAGCGTCGGCAGATGGAGTCGGAGTAGGAATCTGTTCAATAACCGATCCGTTCTCATCGGTTGTCCAGGTAGTATAAGTTCCAGTCCAGATCGACGTGGCGTCAGCTGATGGAGTAGGAATTTGTTCGATCACAGATCCATCCTCATCGTTGTCCAAGTGGTATAAGTTCCAGTCCAGATCGACGTGGTGTCAGCTGATGGAGTAGGAATTTGTTCGATCACAGATCCGTTCTCATCGGTGGTCCAGGTGGTGTAAGTACCAGTCCATACTGAAGTAGCATCCAGCAGATGGAGTCGGAGTAGGAATCTGTTCAATAACCGATCCGTTCTCATCGGTTGTCCAAGTGGTATAAGTTCCAGTCCAGATCGACGTGGCGTCAGCTGATGGAGTAGGAATCTGTTCAATAACCGATCCGTTCTCATCGGTTGTCCAAGTGGTATAAGTTCCAGTCCAGATCGACGTGGTGTCAGCTGATGGAGTAGGAATTTGTTCGATCACAGATCCGTTCTCATCGGTGGTCCAGGTGGTGTAAGTACCAGTCCATACTGAAGTAGCATCAGCAGATGGAGTCGGAGTAGGAATCTGTTCAATAACCGATCCGTTCTCCATCGGTTGTCCAAGTGTATAAGTTCCAGTCCAGATCGACCGTGGCGTCAGCTGATGGAGTAGGAATTTGTTCGATCACAGATCCATTTTCGTCAGTAGTCCAGGTAGTATAAGTTCCAGTCCAGATCGACGTGGCGTCAGCTGATTGCAGTAGGAATTGTTCGATCACAGATCCATTTTTCGTCAGTGGTCCAGGTGGTATGAGTACCAGTCCAGATCGACGTGGCGTCAGCTGATGGAGTAGGAATTTGTTCGATCACAGATCCATTTTCGTCAGTGGTCCAGGTGGTATGAGTACCAGTCCAGATCGACGTGGCGTCAGCTGATGGAGTAGGAATCTGTTCAATAACCGATCCGTTCTCATCGGTGGTCCAAGTGGTGTAAGTACCAGTCCATACTGAAGTAGCGTCAGCCGATGGAGTAGGAATCTGTTCAATAACCGATCCGTTCTCATCGGTGGTCCAAGTGGTGTAAGTACCAGTCCACACTGAAGTAGCTTGAGCCGATGGAGTAGGGATCTGTTCGATCACAGCACCATCACTGTCGGTGGTCCATGTAGTATGATCACCCGTCCAGACCAAAGTAGTTTGGGCTGATGGAGTAGGGATCTGTTCGATCACGATGCCATCACTGTCGGTGGTCCATGTAGTATGATCACCCGTCCAGACCAAAGTAGTTTGGGCTGATGGAGTAGGGATCTGTTCGATCACGATGCCATCACTGTCGGTGGTCCATGTAGTTTCCGAACCAGTCCAGAACGAAGTAGCTTGAGCCGATGGAGTAGGGATCTGCTCGATCACACTACCATCACTGTCGGTGGTCCATGTAGTATGATCACCCGTCCAGACCAAAGTAGTTTGGGCTGATGGAGTAGGGATCTGTTCGATCACGATGCCATCACTGTCGGTGGTCCATGTAGTTTCCGAACCAGTCCAGAACGAAGTAGCTTGAGCCGATGGAGTAGGGATCTGCTCGATCACACTACCATCACTGTCGGTGGTCCATGTAGTATGATCACCCGTCCAGACCAAAGTAGTTTGGGCTGATGGAGTAGGGATCTGTTCGATCACGATGCCATCACTGTCGGTGGTCCAGGTAGTTTCCGAACCAGTCCAGAACGAAGTAGCTTGAGCCGATGGAGTAGGGATCTGTTCGATCACAATACCATCACTGTCGGTGGTCCAGGTAGTATGATCACCCGTCCAGACCAAAGTAGTTTGAGCCGATGGAGTAGGAATTAGCGCGATGGTCGATCCTGACTCGTCCGTAGTCCAGGTTGTGTGAGTACCAGACCATATGGATGTGATATCAGGCTGTAATTCGGGAGGGAACTGTACCCAAAGTGTCCCGTTTTGTTTAAGTCCTTGACCTGGAGAAGCGCTGTTACTCACAATTCTGTACTCTCCAAATCCCGCTTCCTCTCCAATATTCGAAATGTACCAAGCTGCCCATATGGTATCAGATTCGTTTATTGGGTAAAGCTGATTATCACTACCTATCCTAAATTGAATTGGGGGTTGGTCACTGTCCTTGAAAAGAATAAGGGATTGGTAACTCGGTTTGTCCATGTCAGCTTTCCCAGACTTTGACCCGTTTGATAATCATAACCTGTAACGTGTCCACTAGTATCGATACTACAATAGACTTTCCAATCATCAGGTCTGATTACTTGGACACCAGCATTGAACCATACTTTAG